ACTTTGGGTTTCTTACTGGTTCTTTTTACTTTACCACTGAGGTACTGGATTCAGAAAATGGGAATTCTCTCATCCCCAGTGTCTCTGATAATTACCAAGCCCACTTCTGAGATGCCTGGTAGAAGTGAACAGCGTAGCCTTAACAAAAGCCATGTTAACAGATATTTTGGTACAGAATTCAAAGCTCTGGTCAGCAATCCACTTGTCTCAGGCAATATTAAATCTCGCAGAATCTGGCCAAATCAGCAACAGTGCACTGTAATGGGGCTGAACTAATAATAAATCCAAGCTGCAATGGACACCAGCCATGGGGTTAAAAAAGGAACTTGTAACTGTTAAAACAAGACATTTCTCCTTGGAGGAACGTGTGGGAATTCCATTGTCAGCTCACCGCACACTTCCGAGCTCCTGGCTTTCCGGCGCGTCCGAGCTGCTCTCAGCCCCAGACCAGCCTGGCTTTGAACTGAGCGGCGGCTCAGACCCCCCAGTGACGGGAGCATGAAATAAGCTTCCCATTCAGGCTGGCTCAGGGAGCGTCCCGGACTCCCGTGTGGGAAACGTCACCCCTGAACAGCCCTAGCCCAGCACGCTGGCCGGGGTCAGGACTGACGACCAGGCTTCTCCGCTGACCTCCACGTACTGCAGGTCAAGGCTACCAGCAACACTCCCGCCTCCACCCACAGCCCCAACCACACAAAAGACCTTCTCTCTTATCTGTACCCACATCCTGGTCCCACTGCATAAATCGTGGTCCCTTGCTTGGTTCCCATTCTGTTGACCTGCCTCTTCTTTGAACTCTAAGTTGGAGAGGAAGGACGGATCAAGCTTAAGCCAGCACCCTCCACTGGGAAGGGAGTACTGACCTGCAGGCCCAACCTTTACAGAGCCGGGCTTCTGCCGCCCAGGGAGGATCCTCTGGTGACAGCCAGCTGCCAAACTGGGCCTCCCAACACCGCCTGCCCGGAGTCCCATTCCTGCATGCTTTTCCATAAACTAGCATTTATTAGTTTCTATCGAATATATATATTCAGTGCGGGACATTTGCAACATACATAAAGGTCTAAAGAGAAAAATTTTAATGACACAAACATTAACCACTCATAATTTACTTGACCAGTCCCATCCTGTTGGGCATACAGAGGCTCTCCTCCTTCCTGCTGTCATAAATGAAATTCTCTATGCACACTGTTTCCTTAGAATAAAACCCATGAAGAATTATTGGATCAAAGGATATAACACTTTAGATGTTTCTGACACCTATTACCTTAAGAAGGTTAAATCAATTCGGATTCCCTGGGCACTCATCTTCCCAACTATTACTCAAATCGATAGCACTCTTCCCCCCAAACTTTTGCCAATTTAATGTGAAAGCACTGTATCTTTGCTGTTTAGATAACCAGTGAGGCCAAATCGTTACTTTCTTTTGCTTACTGATGCTTGAAACTTTTTGATTTTGTTACCTGCTTCAGCTGACCCTTGAACAACGTGGGGGTAAGGGGCACCGACCCTCCCAGCAGTCAAAAATCTGAGAATAACTTAGAACTGGCCCTCTGTATGCACGGTTCTGCATCCTTGGACTCCACCAAGCACAGACCATGTAATAGTGTAGGTTTTGCACATAAGTGGACCTGCGTGGTTCAGTCTGGTGTTTTTCAAGGGCCAACTGTGTTTCTGTTTTGAATTGATTTGAAAGTTTTCTTTATATTTGAGTAACCATTTATATGGCATAGTTGTGAGAGCTGTGAGAAGCTTCCCGTTTTAATTTAGCTTTAATTCAGCCCCTGGCTTCACACTTTGACTATTTAGCACCGTAGGGCTGCTCCTTGTCAACACTAGACCCCGAGGTAGACACCGCAGGTTCACTGTGTCCCTATTTAGCTCATGCTTTGTTGACGATGGGGCCAGCCCAGCTCCATTCGAGAATCTGTGCCGCCCCTGCATGGCAAATCAGTTCCCTGGTGCCACCCTCCTCCTCTCTCCTGCCATAAATACAGTAATTGGTCTGCTGATAACAAAACAAGGTGTTTTCCATATGTCAAGAGACTACATCTTCAAGTGCTTCTCGCTCACTGGAAAGAAAAAGATGAGATGCCAGCGTGACAGTGCAGCTCAGTTTCCTGGTACGGAAGCGGCAGCCCTGGCCTCGGGCTACACGGGAAAGACGGGGGGCCCTTGGTTCTAATGCTGAGCCCCAGTCCCGCTTAAGGAAGCACAGTGAGGGCTCCAGCCCACTTCCCCGTCTTTCCGGGGAAGGCGAGTTCAGGACTGCAAAGTGCTTAGTGCAGAGATTCTCATCTTTAATGGGCAGCATAAACACTTCACTAATTAGCGATCCCACAGAAAACGGTCCTCTAATTCTCAAGTTCACTCCCCTGCCCGGTTCTTTCTTTGCACTCTCTCTACGCCGGCAGACTGTTAACGAGCTCATCTCTAAAACAGCATTCCAATTACATTTCCAAAGTCATTGAGAAGGAGGGAGGGACTTACCCTGCTCTCATTAAAGTTCTTTTCCTTCAAAGCAAGGCTCTTCCAAAACAGGAGAACATGGTCATTTTCTGTTATGATTTTTAAGGCATCAGGTGCTGATAATGAAACTGAAAATTAAAGATGAAAAGGGGAAGCAGTTAGTGGCTATACATTTGAGTCTCTGTTTTCTTGTTCGTCCAAGGTTGGTGAAATAGTGCTAACCTTGAAGGGACAGGTTAAGGAAGGAATGAAACACACATACCGCTTCGTATAGAGCCTAGCACATTGTAGACTCTTAACTGGCATCTCATTTGCTGTTATAATATCTTCAGCCAAGAAATCTGGGCAGTATCTAGACCCAAGGATGGCCAAAAACAAGTGGAGGTAGAGGAGGAAGGGATGCGGCCACGTCAAAATCTGCCTGGATTTCTGCTTTGATTCCAGTCTGCTTTCCTACCCCCAAAGCCAGAGGAGCCTGAGAGCTTAGTGAGGGGCTAGGGAGCTCGGCCTGAAGACAGAGCCCTGGAATGACCACAAAGTACGGCCCAGGCCCACTGTGGACACTGCTAGCTTCCATCCCAGACATGCCGGATACCATCTGCTATTGTCCCAATAACTGGGCTTATGACCTGCTTTCTGAACTTGAGCCTGACTGCTGAGCCAGCCTGGGGCTAGCAGCAAGCCCCGCTTTAATCTACTACCCAGTTACCAGTCTCTGTCCATTTCTGCATACGCTATTGCCACAAGGAACCACCGTGACTTCAGTCCAGGTGCACAGATGCAACGCTTGGCCTTAAGTGGCAAATATTCAGTTTTATCTCCTAACTCTCTTGGGAATGCCAAAGCCAGCAAAGGGGGAGGAGACTACAGGAGACAGAGAACGTGGAACATGACAGCCACGCCCCGCCCACGGTGCCCTGGCCACCACCCTGCAGCCCAGACCCCGCCACCCCTGCCCGGCTCTGCCCCTGTGGATACTGAGGGTGGTCTCTGCACTTTCTGTGCAATTCCTGATAGAATCCCACATCTTAAAAAAAAATTTAAAAGAGCAGAAAAACAGAAATCCCACGTCTAGAGGCGTCCCAGCAGCAGGGGGCGCCTTGCTGTGTGGGAAGGGCTCCACTCACTGCTTACCTGTGGTAATTTTTATACTGGAATCCTTGCTCATGTTCCCCAGCTGGACAATGACGTGGTATTTCCCTCCAGGTTCCAACTTGTTCAGGGTGTATTCCACTGTACTGTTGCGGGATTTTACTTTGTAGCTCCTGTCACTCTTCCTTATCAGATCTTTAACTGCAATGGCATATAACTGGGGCAGGAAAAAGACACCTTTTAATAGAAAGTTGGCATTTTTTACCCTTTGGAGATCAGTGGGGACCATGTCACCTAAGTTTGTCCATAGCTGTGACCCACAGCAACAATATTTTGAGCCCCAACTTCTGGCTCTGTTCTTTGGAAAGCCTCTGGGGCAGTCAGGTCCCACCTTATAACAAATTCACTCCCAGACTTGGGCAGAGAAGTATCAATTTAATCTCCACCCCAACCCTCCCAAAAAGAAAACAGAACAAAGTAACCCTAGGGAAAGCCACATTTACGGTGGCATCAGCAGGTAGGTTAGAACAGGCGAGAAAAACCCAAGTTCAGCGCTCAACTTCTGACCCTCCACCCACCCCTGCAACAGTGTCAGGATGTCGTCAGAGGGGGACAATGAGTGAAAATGTTCAGTCGCAGCTCTAAGGGACAAAAGTCCTACCTACTCTCTCCCAGGTTGCTTCTCACACATACGGGGACGGGGAAAACATAAGGATGGGCTGTCAAGCTCGGGAAACTCAATCATCAGGAAAAAAACAGAGAGCCCAGAAGAGTCTCGCAATCAAGCATTTAAAACGACCCACTCCTGGGACAGCGGGGATGGCAGAGGAGGGGACGGAGGTGAAAGTAGCCGGGGCCAAGGGAGAACGGGAGCTTTTCTCTAGAATCGATGCCTCTTCTTTTAGGACAAGGCCCAGCCAACTTGTTTGTAAAGGTGCAAATCGTAAATATTTTAGACCTTGAAGGCGAGATGGGCTCTGCCACAATTAACTCAACTCTGCTGTTTGTGGCGTGAGAGCAGCCACAGATAATGCGTAAACGAATGGGAGAAACTGGGTTCTAATAAACCCTCACATAGAAAAACAGGCCACAGGCTAGATTTGGCCTGCAGGCCTTTGTCTGTGAAGGCAGAGAATGCAGAGAAGCAGCAGGGACAAACCAATATGGCAGCCAGGAATAATGGAGAAGTGACAACAGAGAAGAGGCCCCTGCAGGGACCCCATCTTTGGGCAGACGGAAATGGGGGGAGACCTCCTGCTGAGCTCCAACCACCAGGCCTAGGCTTCTTTCCCATTACAGGATCCACCCCCACCCGACCCAAACCGCGTCAGGAAGGAGGAAGCAAGGCTGCCTGGACGCCCGGCCGCTCACCAGGTCCTGGTCAGGAGAGTCGTACGGGGATTCCCACTTGATGACAGCGGAGGTTTTGCCTGTATGAACCACGTGCAGGTGACGGGGAGGAAGCCTGCTGTCGGGGACCATCCTCACCACAACGTAGTCAGAGGACGGCCCCTGGTAGGGCACCACCACCCGCACCTGAAACAAGCACCCCGTGAGCTCACGCAGCTGCCACCAAACCGGGTTTCAACAGAACAGTGACACGCGTACACGACTAAAATTCAGTGAGTATAAAAATACAGAAAATGTACAAGAGTCCCCAGATCGCTAATCCATTTTCCCAGGGTAGTACAAGCAATGATTTTATGTGTTTCCTTCCAGAAACGTCCTATGTAAATATAGGCACAGATACACAAGTGTGTGCACAGAGACATTCTCATACATGTGTGTGTACGTGTGGTCTATTTTTCTTAATCTTTTACATTTTTTAAAAAATTTCTATTTGTTGGGGGAGAGGTAATTAGGTTTATCTATTTAGTTATTTTAGCAGCGGTACTGGGGATTGAACCCAGGACCTCCTGCATGCCGAGCACATACTCTAACCACTGAGCTGTACCCTCCCCTAGCCTATTTTTCTTAATTTTTTTTACACAAATAAGAAAACATTACACATATTATTATGCTCAACCCTTCTTTTACTTAATAACACAGCTTACAGATTTTTCCATTTAATTTGCTGTATGTATGTTGGGTGGTTGCCTCGTATTCCATTGTAAAGAGAAGCCATGATATTTTTAAGCAGTCTTCTCTGGACAGACATTTGTTTCAAACCTTTTGCTATCACAAGCCATTGTACGCCAGGCACGTCTTTCCACACACCTTGGCGCACGTGTAAAAGCACGCGGGCTAAATTCCTAAAAGTGGAATCCACCGAAAGCTTTGTTCTGGTCCCGTGACCTGTTTACCAAGTCTCCAGTCCTACACAAGGGAGTCCCAGGGTTTCAAGTAAAAACCTGATGCTTGTGAAGAAGAGGAACCATCGTCTGTGTGTGTGTCTCTCTCTCACACACGCGCACACACACACGGACCCTGGAATCCACATCTGCAGCTCCCCCGGGTCCTGGCTCTGAGCTAGGAGCCCAGCAATTAAGACATCCTTTAAAAATAGAACATTCCTCTGTATGCTCTGGTCCAGGAAACTTACCAGAAACAAATACTGCTCATCCCTACTGACAAGGACTGTTTTGTTGTGCTGTGAAGTAGTCAAGCTTGTGGGGTTGCGGTAGAGGTCAAGAAAGGACGTGGCATAGAAAATACCGTAAACCTGGTAAAAGAAGAGAACACAACAGGATACCAGTTCAGTGGCCAGTGACCTCACTCTCTTGGAAAACCCTGATTTAAGACCCTGGGAACCGCTTCAAAAGAGCTCGCAAAGAAGTCTTCATCCAACATCTATTTCATCACTATTTACCGAGAAGAAACGCCGAGCCAGGCAGTGGATTTCCACCTAGGAAGATAAATACGGTGTGGTCTCTGTCCTCAGGGATTGCTCTTTTGAGAAGAGCCAGGCAGAGAAGAAAAACAGAATTACATGTAGGAAGTTGCAAATACAGAACGTCAGATGCTATACTAGAAGACTGCATGATAAGCCGGGAAAAAGGGGGGGTTATAAGGAGTGGGGGCACCCTACCACAGCAAAGGGGGGTGCGGAAAGCTTAGCGGATATGGGGAGGGGGTGGCAGGTGTGCGAGCCTGTGGAGGGCACACACGGAAGGAGGGCGGACACGGCTGGCTGCACAGCAGGTGCCCAACCTCCCCTTCCTCCTCAGTGGAATCCTGGTCCTCGGTGAGCCATGCTACCTGGAAACACGCCTACATCCCCACCTCCCTCTCAGCAGGAGAGGCCACGTGACAGGGCCGGTCAGTGAGACGTCAGCTGACATGCCAGGCAGGGCCTCGGTGAGGCTCATTCAAGCAGGGGGAAAGCCTTTCTTCCTGCCCTCCTGGTGCCTGGAACATGGAGGATGCTGTGGCTCCAGGAGGCCTCCTGGACCACGAGGTGGTGTCACGGGCTGGAGGGGCAGGGCCTGGGGCCCGGATCAAACTGCACTGTGGCTGTGGAAGCAGGGAAATAGCTGTTGAAAGCCACTGTTGCTCTCAGTTCCCGCTCTATGTGGCCGTTCTTAACCCTAATTGGTCCACGAGGGAAACAGAGTTTAAAGCAAGAACTCTGATGGCCCCGGCAGTGGGGAGGGCGGAAGCTGAGAGCATTTCTAACCAACAGTAAGCATGAGGAAGCTTCCTTCAGAAGGCAGAAACAAGAGGCAACTTCTCAAAGAGCACAAGAGCGGGCAAGACAGGGGACTTAAGAAAACCGTGCACGTCTGGGAGGGAGGGAACCAAATAGGAAGACGCTTCCATGTCCCAGACAAATGGGGCAGGAGCAGGAATAGGGGAAGCAGAGGGCTCAGAGCGTGAGATGGGACGTCGTGGCGGAGGGGGCCCAGGGCGCAGGCAGCCTGATCCCAGTGAGGACACGGAGCGGGGTCCGGGGGCCAAGAGAGGGGTCCTCAGAGCCCAGGGAGCCAGCGGGTACAAGGACCCCACACAGGCAGTGCTGGCGGAGGGCACAACCGCGAGTGACACGCCAGAGCCCTCAGTGAGCTGAAGACGGGTCCACGCTGAGTTTCCTACAGGTGATTTTGAGACAGGAGAGAGGGGGCCAGGGCACAACCATGAAAAGCAGTGGGGGCAGGACGTGAACTGATTAAAACCCGACTACGGCAGAAGATTCAATTCCCAGTAGACCTGGAGCCTCACTCGACACGCATCATAATGTCTCAGCATGATAAATGGCCCTCCCCCAGGAGCCAGACAGCTCCAAGGCTGGACGGAAGAGGCCAAAAAGTGGGCGGCGGCCCAGTTCCTGAGAATCCCCACCCCTCCCCCAAAGCAGCTGGAATCTTCCTCCCACTTGTTAGCACACGAAGTTACTGAGCATGTTCAAACCGACAACCCTGCACCTCCCTTCCTCCCTCCTTCTCTCTCTCTCCCGCCTTCTGCGAGGGCCCACACTCTGTCTATGGAGTATGTATCTCCCTGAATAAATCTACTTTCACTCTACTCCAACTCTCTCTTGAATTCTTTCCTGCTCGAAGCTAAGGACCCTCACTTAGCAGGTGCATCCAAGGGGCTCTCCTGAGACCTCGGACATGACCGTCCTCTCGCACCCCATTTTCCTACAACAGTTTCACAGGCCCCTCGCCCTTGGAAAGTGACTCTGAGAAAGGAGGAGGCAGAGCTGGCTTCTCCAAGTTCACACATGACAAGACACTAAAATCAAGCCCCGTGCCCATGCTCTGTCCACAACGCCGTCCCATGAGGATGCTCGGGTGTGACGGGGCAGGCCCTGAGCTGAGGACACACAGAAAGGCCCCTCTGTGAGCAGAGTCTACCTGAAGGTAAAATGGAGACCTGGGGGGGGGGCGGGGGGGGTGCTCTGGGCCTTCTCACCTCTTACCCTGCCTCAGAATCAGGTCTGGGAACAACCGCAGAGCTGAGGCTGTGAAATGAGCTGGACCTGAGCGCTAACTTGGTCAACGGCTGACTTGACCTCAACTCTCCACGCCCCAACCTCCTCGCCGGCAGAGTGGGAACATTCACCCCCTACAGCTGCTGGGCGCACACCTGGAGGCCGTGTGTGAAGGGCTGGCACTGTGCCCGGTGCACGGAGGGTGCTCAGTACTGTCACCTCCTCCTTCTGCATGGCTGAGCCTACAGACAGTTGCCTGCAAACCTTGGTTCTTCCCCCAAGAACCAGTCCTGCACCCAGGGCACACTGGGGAGGCCCCCAGCAGACAAGACACCGGCCAGGGCCTCCCTCACCGGCCCCTGAGGGTTCACTGAGTCTCAATTGCAGGCTTAGTTCCATCTGCTTTTCCATTTGGGAAACTTAGAAAACAAACTTGCCCTTCAAGAGCTTACAAACCAGTGAGGGAGATAAGTGTAGACAGACGACATGAAACAGGATGCTCGGTATCCAGGGCGACGTGATGCTGTGCAGCACCAGCTATAAATACGTAGGAGTTCGTCAGGGACCGAGATGAAGCGGAAGAGGGCAGGACTTGACTGCTCAGCGCGGGGAGCGGGGAGGCCTCCGGGGGAGCCTCGGTGCAGAGGCGGGAGGAGGGTGGAAGCAGCCTTGGGAAGGTGCACCCTGGGGAGGGTGGGAACTAAAAACCAGACCCAAAAAGCAGCACAAACCCAATCCGAGTGAATCAAAATGCAGGCAAAACAGTGAAAAACAAAGGACCCACCTACAGGTGCAGCCGGGCCCCTGGAAGGAATGGTGTGGGGTGGACGTGGGGCACAGAAGCCACCTCGCAGGCGGGGGACCCCACAGGTGGGGCGGGGCTAGTCACTGTCACTGCAGCTGACTTGTCACCAAACCCAAGGTGCCTTCCGAGCTCACGACTGACCCCCTCCTCGTGCTCGGTCTATGCAACAGCACACAGCAGGGACTCTCTCTCTCAGAGGCCAGGCCAGGCTGCAGAAAGGTGCGCTGGGGCTGGGCTGTCAGGGGCCTCAGGAAGGAAACCCAGAACGGACCAGGAGGGTAGCTTGTGTTTAGGGTGATGGGGTGAGAAAAAAAAAGCAGCAGCAACAGAGAGCAAAGTCCTAGAGATGGCGGGCGGCCTAGCACCCGGGGAGCGTCCGTCCCTCCTCTGCACGGGTCATCCTGGCCGACTTACCACATTCCTGGGGCCAGTCCAGGTGCATTCCACCGCCGTCTGATTGATGGCCTTGGCTTTGAGGCTTGGGGCGGGTGGGCGGACCCCTCTGGTGGTGACATGCTGGAATGCCAAAGGGCTATCCCCCAGGTCGGTCTTGGCCCAAGCAGAAATCTCGTAGGGTGTATGAGCTGTCAGGTTGCCGACTGAAAAAACAGGGGCAGGGGGCTGGGGCAGCAGTCAAGAATACAGTCTTTACACGCACAGCCTAGTCTTTTAAATGTAATCTCTCAACTTAAGTGAATCCCACATGCTGTACGATTTTTATTGTTTAACAAATTCACTCAGTGTTATTTATTAATGACTACAAGTAACACACAGCGTAGGCACTGGGGAATTGTTGTAAAGCTCACCATTTGGGGATATAAATTGGGACCACACTCCTGGAGAGCCACTTGGCCTTGTGTGTGAGTCTTGAAATTCTCCATAACCTTAAATCCAGCTAAACAAGAGGGACTGCAAAATCTGCGCAACCAGGATGTCTGTCAGTATTTGTCTCAGTAGAAAAAAGTGTACATAATCTGACTGCCCAGCAAAGAGGCAATAACTGCGCATCCATGAACTTTTATGTGCCTTCATGTGCCATCCATGAACTATTACATGGCCACTAAAAGTTGTTTCTCAAAATATAGAATGAGACTAGAAAATTCTGTTATTTGTGTTAAGTGAAAAAGGCAGAATATAAAACTATATATAGCGTTATTCCAAATTTATAAAAAAGAAATCAGTGAAGCAGAACCATAGTAACTAGGAGAGATCCAAAAAATGTAAAAGTGGTTTCTCTGGGAAGTGAAATAACAGGAAATTAAAATTTTTATTATACCGTTTTTTTGTTTTTTAGATTTTCTGTAATAGGCGTGTGCCCCCTTTCTAATTGGGGGAGATGTTATTAAAAACTAAAAGAGCAGTGAACAAAAAGAAGGCCACGCTCAGAGGAATCAGGACTCGGGTTGGAGCCTGAGTCTACGCCGTGTAGTTGCAGGAGCACAGATGAAGTCGCCAAACTCTCTAAGTCCGTCTCCTGGTCGGCGAGACAGGGAAAGGGAACAGCGCTTACAGCAACTGACTGTTGCAGGGAACGAAAAAGAAAATGCTCGTAAGTGCTCAGCAGACGCTTTGCACGGAGCGAGCCCTTAATGTGTTTCTGGCAACGGCTGGTAAGACTTCAGCTCCCGACTCTGCCAATCCCTATGGATGAAGCAGTGAGGCAGTGAGACACCAGCCTTTGGAATTAACGAGATGCGGATTCCAATCCTGGCTCTGCCACCTTCTGAGGGAATCATTCCATTCCCGGACCTTCTTTTCTCATCCAAAAAGCGAGCACCTCCTGCAGCATTATTTTGGGGTGTTATGGGAAAGCACCACATTCAGAGCGCCCAGGGAAACGCCTGCATGCAGTAAGCGCTCAGTGTTTCTTTCACTCTTGCACGACCTCCTTAGGCAACTTCAGTTTCCATGCCTTCCTCAACATCCACAGGCAGCCCTGGCCACTGAAGGTTTTGAGAATAAATTAAAAACCTTTCCTTTAGCCCATTTTCAGATATGAGAATTTTAACTGAGACTCACTATTTGCACAGATACAAGAGGAACTGGAGCCCCTTCCTTCCTTCCTTCCTTCGCCCAGATGACCATTCGTTCCATAAACACTGACTGATCACCAATTATGCACCAGCCCTGCGCTACCTTGTATCCGCAGAGGAGGAGCGAACCAGACCATAAAAAAAGAGAGAAGGGTAACTAAGCTTGTGGGAGGCCAAACTCATCTGCAGAGGGTTAATCTGGCTTTTTTTTTTCAAGTCTCAAGCCTTTGACTTTCATGAAGAGTCCCTAAGTTAGAAGGGGGTTTGGGGAACCATCAGTGCATTCTTCACCTGGACTCAGGAGTCCCTGACAGCATCCTCAATGGACAAGCACCCGTCCATTGAGAAGGGCAGCAGAGGAGACCCCCTCCCGCTCCGTTCCCGGCAGCCCTGCACAAGCCGCCCTCCTTCCGGCTTACACACCGCCCAGCTCCGGGATGCTACCTTTGTGTGACAGTACACTCCCGTGGAAGGTCATCGTTTTCTTCTCCTGTTTATGGGCATCGAATGCCCAGAAGAGGTTCACCACATAGCCATTCACCTGCCAAGAGCCAAGCACCAGGTTACACGGACAGTACACACTCACAGAGCACACGAGACTCGAAGGGCAGCCTTTTTCTGTTGTTCCCCAGGTATCTCTCTTCTTACAAGGAACAGCCTGGGTCCTTTGATCCTTAACCCAGTTCCATTTTGTGCTACCATTAAATATTTAGTTACACTCCCTCTACTTCTAAAAAACAAGCGTGAGACCCTTTACAATTTACAGATTCAATGAGAGAAAAAAGTTAATGCAAGATAAAAGGACCAGAATCCATTAAAACAGGCAGAAAGAAGAAAAGTTGAAAAGGTAATCAGATTATGGTAATTAAGGGTAAATCTTAGCTCAGGTGGTCCTTGCAGTCAAGGCCGAGAGGTCAATACAAAAGGGACTTGGTTAGATCTCACTGTCTAACAGGAGCGAATATACCCACGAGTCAGGAAAGACCACTTTTTCCACATCCTGAACTCACAGAAGGATTTGATCTAAAGGTCTTCAAAAGTATTGGACAACACACAAAATCAAAATGTCTTCAAGACCAAATACTATGTCCATGCAAGGCCGTTTCCAGCATCAACTGTCACTGAAGCCAAGAGCATGACACCAAATTATAATTCAGTAAATGGCACAGGGACTCTGAAGGCTGTTAGTCCCGCCACAGTGTCACAGACAGGGAGGGATGGAAGGTGGGTCTCTACTGGAGAGACCACGGGGACACAGATAATTATGAAGCTGGCTCTGCAGATGGGCCGGGTGGAAGGGACGGTGGTGCTGGAAGAGGAGGCTATTGGGTGGGTATGCTTCCAAGGTGTCTGACTCTGTCTCCCAAGGCTCTCTTTCACGGTGGGAGCCGCTGCACCAGCGCTCAGCCCCAGGAAATCCAATAAAGCTGAAAATTACAGGGCGTACATATTCTGTTAACACCAACTCTTTATTTGCACTATAGCTGTGAACCATTTAATTATATGGTTTAAAAGGAAAAAAAAACAGGCACCAGGCTGAGGCAGAATAATTACATGTGAAGACTCGAGCTGCTCTTCATGGGGGAAAGAACCAACTGAGCTGTGGGATTTCAGCTTCCCTGGATCGAGTCATTCATTTTTCTCAATTTTCGTGTCCTCGGCCGGATCGGTTCCCGTGCGAGGTAAAGCCCCACCCCAGCAGCCCCGGTGTCGTGTGTCAACATTACCTTGATGTCACTATCCATGGTCAGGGTAAAGCTGAGAGAATTTTCGCCATAGCTGTCAATACGAATGTTCGGCGGTGGAATCACTGAAAAAAAAAGATATTCAAGAAGAGAAACCATGTAATGAAAAGGGAAGAAGGCAGAACTTCACAGTTTTTAACTCAAAGACAAAGCCGTCTTTCAGTGGCGGAAGAAAGGGCACTTCTTTGGCTGTTTTCAGTCATCTGTCTCTTTCACCACTGTCGTCCTGACGCTGAGCTTGGGTCCACAGTTGCCTGGTGAACACGTCACTGTCTGGGCTCCATCACTAGCCTGCTGACTAGGTCGAGCAGAAACGTTCCATTATGTCAGTGTCCCACATGGTCCCCGCCACAGCCTGGTTCTGAAGCTGCGGGGATCACAGTGAGAGCCACCTTCACTGGCACCGAGAAAGTCCCAGTGGCCGCAAGTCCTTTTTTGAAGGTTGACAGCAGGGTACAACGTTAAGTCACAACTTGCAAAGGTACATGCGGCAAAATGGAAAAGAACGTGGGCTCTGGAGTCTGGCAAACTGGAGCTCAAATTCCTACTGAGACACTGGGCAGCTGTGCCCCAGGGCAGGTTACTCGGAGATCATCTTGACTTCGCAGAGGTGGGAATACTCACTAAAATAATGTGTGTCAAGCGCCCGACACTTAGCTAACGTTCCCTTTCTCTCCCTTTCCAATCAGGTCCCACCCATGGCAGATTAAACAGCTGATAAGCCACTAGCATTCTTAAGAGACCAGAGCTCGAGCTGAGGGGAGAGAAGAGGGCAGCAGAGAGAAAAGACCCCCCTCGGTTCAAGTGGAGAGCATCGTGCTGGTCGTATTGAAGGTCTACCCACAAGAAGCCTGCCAGTGCCTGCCAGGTGTGCTCTGAGAGGGCGTGATGGATGGACACGGTCAGGAGACAGTGTTTGAGTGGCCGCTTGCATGTTACACTCTCAGCACATGTGCCTCCTACACAGGCGAGGCAAGAGAGACTCAAAGGAGCAGTTAAGAGGCAGGGATGTATCAAAATCCAGACGAGCCTCTCCAGGTAACCAACCATGAGGTGGGCTTGAGGAAGACACAGTAACCAGGAGAAAGGACGTTAGGATTTTCAAGCGCCAACTCAGAGCAAAACAGTTCAGGTCCTGCCGTAAAGCTGACCTGAATTACAGTCCTGGTGGCTGGAGACAGATCACAACCCTCCCCAAGTCCCAGGTTCCTCAGCTACAAGATGAGCATAAGAATACTCACAGGGTTGACAGGGATTAAAAGAGATCACTTCTTGTAAAAGGACCAGCAGGTGCTCTGCACAAGCAGGACTCAAAAACTGGGGGCTTTTCTCACTGTTTTTATGCTTAATCCCCTGCGTTCGCTACTGAAGGTGGTGCTTCTGGGTGACGCCACCGTGGTTTTTGTACCCTGCTTTCTCACTCTGCACACAGCTGCCCTTGGTACGTACCCCAACCAAAACACACATGAACTGAGGTTCAGCCTCAATGTCATATCCAAGGAGTTTAAGAGAAGCAACCACCAGCTGTGACTTGCAACAACAAATTCAAGGTGCTACCTGTTTTTCTGATGACCTTCCAATGTCCCTCCTTTTCAGTACGTATGGTCAGTATGTTCTGAGTGATTTTATAGAGGAAAATAATACTGCAATCAAACCTCTAAGGGAGTGTGAACTCAGTGCACCTTTTCCAATACCCACAGCGGCCAGTTCCAAGGACTGGCTTCACCAAGTGTGGCTGCCGCCTGCCGTGACCTCAATGACCCCAAGTCTTAAAGGCAACCAGATAGTGACTCTCCATGACCCAGAGCCTATTTCTCCCAGGCTCGGGTTAAAGTAAAAGCCCCCAGTCCTGTTCCACATGACACTTCCGGCTTTAACACCCGTTATGGCCAGAAACGAAAGCCTCAAGTGCCAA